TTATGGTTTCTACCTGACAGAACTCTGAGCCTCAGGGGGCTTAAAAATATCACATAGGACTTCATATTAAAAATGGTAGAACTTGGGCAGTACCTGTGGCTCAGTGAGTAGGGTGCCAGCCCCATATACAGAGGGTGGCAGGTTTAAACCCAGCCCCAGCCAAACTGCAACAAAAAAATAGCCAGGGGTTCTGGTGGGCACCTGTGGTCCCAAGCTACTCAGGAGGCTGAGGCAAGAGAATCGCTTAAGCCCAAGAGTTGGAGGTTGCTGTGTGCTGTGATGCCACGCACTCTACCTAGGGTGACAAAGTGAGACTAAAATAAAATAAAATAAAATAAGGAATAAAATTAAAATGGTGGAAATTAAAAAAGAAGTAGAAAGAATCAGTCTGATTCAAGACTTACTATGTCACTACAATAATCAAGGCTGTGTGGTGTTGGTGGAGGGAGAAGCACAGAGATTAATGAATAGAATAGAGAATAGGGAAGGGTCTAGAAATAAACCCTCACAAGTAAGTCCAACAGATTTTTAACAAAAATACTTATACTTAATGGAAGACAGCCTTTCTAACAAATGGTACTAGAGCAATAAAATGTCCGTATGTAAAAAAATAAACCTCCAACTAAGCTTCATACCTTACTCAAAAATTAACTCAAAATGGACCGTAGTCTTAAATGTAAAACTATAGAACTCTTTTTTTTTTTAAAACAGGAAAAATACTTCAGAATCAAAAGCTAGGCAAAGATTTCTTAGACTTGACACCAAAACCACAATCCATACAAAGAAAAATTGATAAACTGGCCTTCATCAAAATAAAACACAATCAAAAAGTAAAATCAAATCAAAAAAGGTCTTAGAAATTTAAAAGTCTGGTAAATAAAATTTCGTAAGATGGTTGAAATACAGAGCTGAGAAAATCTGCTGCAATGTAGAGCTAAATGACAAAGAAATGAAAAGTAGAAGGAAGGAAACAAGAAAACTGGAAAATCAATTCAGGAAAGCCAATACCCAAATAATAAGAATTTCAGAAATAGAGAGAAAAGAAAACTATCAAATAAGACAAACTATAAAACTTCCCAGAATTTTAGACTTGACACCAAAACGATAATCCATACAAAGAAAAACTGATAAATTGGCATTCATCAAATTAAAAACAAAACACAACCCAAAAAAGGTCTTAGAAACTTAAAAGGATATGCGTTTCTAGATTAAAAGGAACCATCAAATATCTAATATAATAATGCACACACCAAGGTGTATAAGAAATTTTCAAACACTAGAAATAATGAGAAATGATTTCACCTGCATTCCTAAGTTTTCTTTATTGTTCTTATTCTTGATTAAGTGACCTTTGGTTCATTTTGTAATTTTACTAATCATCAGCAAATTCACTAGTATGATGTTACTGCCAAAAGTGAAGGCAGCTGATTGATTACGAGTTATGAGTGATTGTAGCATGAGATTGTGCCATGGTGAAACCTTAACATTTGGATTTATTTATATTCATTAAATTTATCTTGTTAAATGATATTACCATGAATCCACTGTCAAACCTGAATATTTTTAAATTTAAAATGGAACTCTAGCTGGGTGTCATGGCTCATGCCTGTTTCCTAGCAATGAGATGGATGGATTGCGTAAGCTCAGGAGTTTGAAAGCAGCCTGAGCAAGAGTGAGACCCCATCTCTACTAAAAATAGAAAAACTAGCCAGGTGTTGTGGTGGGCACCTGTAGTCCCAGCTACTCAGGAGGCTGAGGCAAGGGGATCACTTGAGCCCAGGAGTTTGAGGTTGCTATGATGCCACATTAGTTTACCCAGGGCAACAGAGTGAGATTTGTCTCAAAAAAAAAAAAAAAAAAAAAAAAAGCACTCCATCTTGTTCTAGTTCAGTTCTTTACTTAGTAAGGGGACTCAGAGAAAGCAAACATAACAAAATAGTGTTTTTACTGAAAGAAAAAAGAGTAACCCTATAAAAGCATATAACTATTACATATCCATAATAATTAAAAAGAAAAATAAAAGAGAAATAGAGAGGCAAAGAAGCAAAGACCTAGGAAATTCTAAGATAAGATTATAAATTAGCCCTAAAGAACAGCCAGCCCAGATTCCATCAAATCAGAAAATTAAGGGAGAAATCATGAAGATGATAAAGCAGACAATACTAAACGCATCTAAAAAGATTCAAAAAATGATTTACACAACTTTGGGAGAGTTTGGAGTTAAATTCAGACCAAAAGAGGGGGGAAAAACAATTATTAATGCCAATGAAAACAGAGTTGTATGGGAAAGGCATAGTCTGATCAGAGTCTACCAGCAGATGCAGTAGGAATAGTTTTCTTACCTAATGTAAAAATGTAAAAAAAAAAAAAAAACAACAAAATATCTAATATTAATGTAATCAACATACTGCCAAAAACTTACTGGTATTTTAGAAGAATGAGAGATGAGAATAATGTAAGTATTTATGGAAAGGGGCAAGCAGGGGATAAAAGAAAGCTAAATCTTTACTTCCCATAGGAGATAATGCCTAAAAGGGAGGGAAAAAATCAAGAACCAGCAATATTAGCATATTGTTTAGAAATATATCAAAAGAAACCACCTAAAGTGGTTGCCTCTGGGACCTTAAAACAGCAGAGGAGTTCCCTTTGTCATTGATTTTTTTAAATAGTGAGCTGAGTTCACCTATTTGAAAATTTGAGCTTTGAAAAAATATAGACCAAATTAAAAACAAAATAAAACTCTTATAGCTAATACACAATTGGGCCAGAACTTGAACCCATGTAATTTAACTTCTAATTAAACCCATTAATTTGTGAGCTCCTAATGGGCGCATGCTTCTTCAGTCTCTTTACTGAAATGCCTGACTACAGCAAAGTAAGCACTCAAGCATTTTTTTCTAAAAGTGTGGGAGAATGTTAAAGAATGGGATTGCTTTTGTAACACAAGTAAGTGAATGAGAACAGGGCATCCAGGTAGAGGAAATAGCAGAAGCAAAGAGAGGAAACAAAGTGTGTGAGAGCTCAGCAAGTATGGGGCAAGGGAAAAAGGAAGAGTCGTGAGAAACACCCAGAAAACCTACCGGGGATATGAAGGGATTCAGCAAGAACAGCAGTCTGGAGCTGTGTGCAGGGAAGTGGGAAGACACTGGTGACTTGCAGACAGACCCACATGTTTTTGACTATGTGTATGTATATGAGCCTTGGGAGTTAGCTGGTTGACAATTCCTCACCAAATAGTTTTAGCTTTCTGGAATCCATAGTAGTACCAGGCTCTCTAAAATCCTGTGTTTCTTTAGTAGCTCAACTGCAATACAACTAGTTACTCTAACCAGCCACTGAAAGGGCAACACAACCTCATAGAATCCCTACAACAACACTCCTACCCATTTGGCAGGGTGGGGCATTTCTTCCTGTTCTCTACAAAAGCATCAAAATCCAGGGCACAAAGGAATCACCACCTCTAAGTGAACATATGCATCTGCTATTACCATTATTCATACATTCATTTCACCCAAAGTTTAGTAAGCATTTAATCTATGCCAAGTAGTGTATCAGAGAATAAAGTTTCTGATCCTAAATAACTTACTGTCTGATAGCAGAACTACTTACAACATAAGTAGTTGCAACATATATTACATATATAACATACGTTAAGTAATACAATTGATATAAACAAAAGTACCATGGAAACACAAAGAAATAAAATACTATTCCTTTAAAGATTCTTATTATGCCTAATGTAAAACAGAGGTAAAAGTAAAGTACTACTCTAACAAACTCCTATTACTTTTCTGTTATGATCGTCAACTCTGGGCCAATCTTGTTTCCCTTCTAAACTCACTATTCTCAAGGACATCATATTGTCTCTTCAGTATGTATTTCAGCATGTATATCTAACACATAGGGACTCTTCCTATAAATGTAATATAAATGTTAACCTTGAAGAATGAGTTTTTAAAAATTAAGGTACAACTAACGTAATAAAATGCACAGATCTAAGGTGTCCCATTGAGTTTTGACAATTGTACACCCCTGTCTAATGGCTATCCAAAAACACACAGAACATTTCCATTGCCTAGAAAATTCCCATAGGACCCTTTCTAGTCAGTATCCCACAAGCAAGATAACCATTTTCTGATTTCTATCTCCACAGATCAATTTTGCCTGTTCTTCAGACTTCTACAAATGGAATCTCAGAGTATTTATGAGGTTTCTAGGTTTTGGCCTAGGTTTCTGGGAAAGCATGTCAGGTAGAAAGAATTATATGTAAAAATATAAAGTCAGGGAGGGGGAAGCGGTGGGGAGGAGGTGAATGGGTGAAGGGAGGGTGATTGGAGGGATCACCTCTATGGTTTACCTTACAAGGGTACAAGTGAATCTTTCTAAAAGTAGAACATAAACATCTTAACACAATAACTAAGAAAATGACATAAAGGCTATGTTAACCAGTTTGATGAAAATATTTCAAATTGTATATGAAAACACCACACTGTACCCCATGATTGCATTAATGTACACAGCTATCATTTAATTAAAAAAAAATATATATATATATAAAGTCAGATAAGAATAGGTTCACAGAGCCAAGGTTCTATGGAAGAGTGCAGGAGGGCTGACAACTGGAACTGGCAACTGGCAACTAACAGACATAAGATGAGAAGAGGAGGCTTATTATAAATTAGGCTTTATGGATTAAAGTATGGTTACCTTCAGGTAACCGAATTGTCAAGTAAGCTTTTCCCAACCTAAAAATCAGTCAGTTCTCTCAATATGCTCCTTTTTCATCCATCTTCCTGCTGAGGGTAACCAGACAGAAGCAACCTTTCTGACTTTTCCCTAAAAGACAGTTCACAATTCATCCCATGGTTGCTCAGTCCCATCTTGTCCAAAGGCCTCTGTGGCCATCTCAGAGGAAGGAACAAGTCCCCTGCAGATTTCTTATGAGAAGGTACACTCTGTGCCTCTACTTAAACATTCCCAAGTCTGAGGGGCAGCCTTACCATGATCTGGATTTCTCTCTTGCACACCTGGAGGTCATGCTCGTTGTTGACAAACATGCGTTTCAAGGCACATTTCATCCCATTGCTTGTCCTCACCAGAAACACGATAGCAAATCCACCTGTAAGAGAAACACACACAAGCTCTTTTGAGTCATGTTCAAAAAGTCAGTCCGATGGCCATGGTGGCTGCAGGTTGCTGCTGTCGCTGTTAATAATGTCACTGATGCCACTGTCAGCCAGCCATCAGGGCATTCTGAGATTCTCAGAACTCCGAGATATTACTTGTGAGATTAGGTGGCAAGAGTCAGAGAAACCATTCTCAAACAGGCATCTGAAGATAATGAAAGAACAGTAATTATCTTCCAAAGAACCTATAAATAAACAGATAAATGACCACAAGAAAATGACCCAACTATATTCCAACCATGGTCTTAGGCATATGTGATGCTCTTGTCTAATTCTTACTACAATTATGTGGGTTTGGTTGTTATTTTTCCCTTTAAAACAACAACTGCCAGCCAAAGAAAGCAGAGGCTCAAAGAGACATATTCAAATTGAGAACTTTTAAAAAACAGGGCTGGGCATGGTGACTCACGCCTGTAATTTCAGCACTTGGGAGGCCGAGGAAGATGGATTGCCTGAGCTCACACGTTTGAGACCAGTCGGAATCAGAGGGAGACCTTGTCTCTAAAAATAAACAGGCATTGTGGTGGATGCATGTAGTCCCAGCTACTTAGGAAGCTGAGACAAGAGAATCACTTAAGCCCAGGAGTTTGAGGTTGCTGTGAGCTATGATGTCACAGCACTCTACCAAGGGTGGCAAAGTGAGACTCTGTTTCCAAAAAAAAAATAGAAACTTTTAAAAAACATATGTCCAGCACTCTTTCCCTCATAACAGAGAGACTAAGAAATTATTTCTATAATTGCTATTATTAAATAGCTGTCAATTAATTTCAAGGATGTCTTTCTTTCTTTTCTCCTCATCCTTCCTCACTCTACCCCTCAATTCAATTCTACCAGACCCTGTATATTCCTCCTGCCCTCCCCATCGCATGGCCTATTGAAAAGATACAAGATACAGGTACAAAAGTGCTATTCTACACAGCAGACACAAGGCAAGGATGACTCAATTATTGAGCAGCTTTTTAATGTCTGCACTGACCTTTCTCTAAAAGACAGTTCACAATTCATTAACAGAAATTCTAACAGGAATTCTCAAAGGCTATAGATCTGCTATACCTTAGTGTTCCACAAATTATTAGAATTCCGAACCTCAATCTCACTTCCAAAGCACTGTATGAGATATTCCATACTGCTGTTAAGAGAACAGGTTAAGAGAAGAGGGGTTTGACAAATATAGTGAGGAAAAGCCATCAAAGTTGAATGCTTTGGAATAAGCAGCAGTTACACTGGACACTCAGTTCATCCGCCTGCCTAGTACACCACCATCATTTAGTTTGAATATTCTGTTCATTGACCCTGTGCAGCCAAAAAAACATAACAAAACAAAACACGAGGCTATTCCTTACACAGAGGTAGCCACTAATTGAATAGAGGTGAACACAGAGGAAGACATCAGCATGGGAACTTGGAGGCAGTGATGCAGTACTGGGGCTAGCAGCCGCATGCAAAATTGATACAGATCAATTAGCAGCCTTATAGATCTCAGTTCCCTGAGAAATAAGACTCAGGTCCTGACTGTGCCATTGTAACTCTCCCGAAACTCAGCAGCACTTCAGTACTTGTCTGCAGATGTCCATGGCGCTTCCCGTTTAATCTTTATAGTATAATTGTAAAAGTTCTTTTTCAAGTTAGCTTGAGTATATTTCTGTTCTTTGCAACCACAGAGCCTTAATCATAAAGCATTATTGCATGTTTTCACAAAATACACATGTAATTCTGTACAAAAATATGTTCAATGGGCTCAAATGTTCCAGATGTGCATGGTGATGATTTGCCAGAGACTGAATGTTCGTATATTTCCTGTCATTATGTCTTCTTCAGTACTCAGGTAAACACTAAAATTTACCATACAATCTTTTTTTTTTTTTTTTTTGAGACAGGGTCTCACTGTGTCACCGGGCTACTGTACAGTGGCCTTATCATAGCTTACTGTAACCTTAAACTCCTGGGCTCAAGCAATCCTCTTGCCTCAGCCTCCTGAGCAGCTGAGACTAATTTGTCTATTTTCTGTAGAGATGGGTGGGGTCTTACTCTTGCTCAGGCTGATCTTTAACTTCAGACCTCAAGCAATTCTCCCCCTTCAGCAGCCCTTACCATACAATCTTTAATTGTCACCTCTCTAATCTCTGTGCCTCAATATCATTTTCCATTTTATTTTAATAGTTTAAATCCACTTACACTGCTCAATTATCAATTTACATTTTACTTTTTAGAGTATCAGAATTTGTCCCATAATAAAAATGCACATTTAAGACAGTGACATTAATCTTTTTTACTCCCAAAAGTTACCAAATCCATGACATTATCTTATAATTAATTAGAATTGAGGAAATGATAGCATACATTTAAAATGTTTTATGTACAGTCATAATTGTTTTATAAATAGTCCCAGTGAATGTTAATTTTATAGATGTTTTGAATTAAACAAAAATCACAGAATTATAAGACTCTGCACCTGGAACGCTCCTAGAGAGCATCCTGCTCTATGGGTAAGGAAACCAAGTGAGGCTTAGGAGTCTCATGGCTAGTTCTGGACAGAACCTGGAGCAATGTCACTGCTGATTGTCCAAAAAACATTCTTTCCACTTCAGTTATCATAGTAGAAAAGCATGCAATACCCCTCCAGACAGTAAGGAGACATCCAATCATGCTCCTTACGATTTCTTATGGTTCTGTCTTTCATGGCGTCTGACACTACTAAAGGACAAGGCAGTTCTTTTAGCAGTTTGATGATGCTGCAATTTGAGATAACTACCACCAGATGGGAGCAGTGTAGTTTTCTTTGTCAGGTAGGTAGCAAGATGATCTTCCCAGCTAGGAGTGAAGAAATGGGTCAGCTGCCTACCACACAATTCGGCCAGCCTAACTGGCTGAAAAGAGCCATCCCCAATTCTCAAAGCCTATGACCACGATAAATTTAAAAGCAAAGCCAAGCCATGAATCACTATGCCAAACATAGTCAAAACCATGTTATTAAGGATCGACACCTATTAAAGGGCTTATTTACAGATGAGAAGCATTTAAATCATGAGATCCAAATCCAAGCCTAACAGGATTTGTCAGTTAAAGATGCTGGCCACTATCACTATGTAGTTGACCAAACGTGGATATAAACAACTTGGTTAGAAGGCAGAGGGGAGACAGCACCACTTGAGATACTACTTGAGTCCAGGTCCCTGTCCACCATACACATCAGGCTGATGAGATTGTCAGCTAGAGCTAAAAAGAGTTCAGGCTATTATACAAGGTTACCAACAGAGAAGACTGTCAACGGAGAAGCTTATTTCAGACTGAGTTGCATCCCAAGATCTTGATTAGATGGGAAAGTCTAAAGCTGAGCAGGGGATGGTTTGGACAGAAGTAAGAAATTCTAATATTCAGTAGCCTACACCATTCTCTTTGCCTACTGACAGTGTCTTTAACCACTAAGATAATTTCGTCCACCAATTTACTAAATGAAAAAGAGAAAAAGGATCTGCTCTATTATGTAAAGAAAGCAAGTGAAGTAGGCAGGATAATTTTGACACAAACATGATTTTCCTTTAAATATATAGAGAGTTGCTTTACTTACATGGGAAACACGCACATTGGTCTAACTTTTCCCCTAATTGTTGATGGAGATGTGGACAAGCATTTACAACTCGTCATAAGGTTAGAGATATTATCTGTTTGGTTTGCCTCTAATCATGCCATAGAACAATGCCTAAGACACAGTCAGCACTTAATCAGAAAGTCACATTTTATACTAACCCTGGATAGGCTACACTGCAGAGGCTAAAGAAACCACATCGGAAAAGCTTCCCCTGATTCTCTAGTTTTCTACGTCTAATCCAGTCTCACTCCACTTACTAATGACTAAGGAGGGGAAACATAACAACCCACATTCCACAAAATTAAAAAATGACATATATATACATATATATATATATTAGCTTATACACATCACAGTTCTTGCCTTTCTTCTCTGAAGAGGGGTTTATGAAATATTCTCTCTACCTAACATTTATATATGACTTACTTTAAAGGCATATTCGGGCTGGATGCAGTAGTTCACACCTGTAATTCTAGCACTCTGGGAGGCCAAGGTGGGTGGATTCCTTGAGCTCAGATGGAGCAAGAGTTGAGACCTTGTCTTTAAAAATAGCTGGGTGCTGTGGCAAGCACCTGTAGTCTCAGTTACTTGGGAGGCTGAGGCAAGAGAATCACTAGAGCCCAAGAGTTGGAGGTTGCTGTGAGCTGTGACGCCACAGCATTCTACCAAAGGTGACAAAGTGAGACTGTCTCCAAAAAAAAAAAATCCTAGGATTAGCTGCTTCCCATCACTTTCCTGATAAAGGCTTTAATAAGCATAGGATCATGGAGTCACCAAGAATATTACTGAAATAATACAAATGCCTGGTTCTCTGCTTGGAGAAGGTGTGTGAAGCTCTATAATACACAGAGATGTTATATAAATTCCAAAATCTCTTTCAGTTCCAACATCAATGAGAGATCACAGTTTTAAACTGCAACTTTTTAAAGACAAAGGTAGACAAAACTTCCTAAGGAGTCTCATCATGATATGTGACATCAGCAACAGGGCTCTGGAAGAAGTAGTACATCTTCTAATTCTGTATCAAATACTGAATCACACTAGAGTGCCAGGCCCCAGGGGCTATTCGGAATGAATCAGGACACGAGTGACTTCCACTTAGCAAGGAAAAGTGAGAGAAGAGAAGTAAGGTGAGTGGAAAGAGAAGGAAAACACCAAACTGATTATTTGAGCACTGATGGGAAACAGCTGGCAGACAATGAGAATGATTAGGCCAGGGATATGAGACAAAGAAGCCCATCGTGGTGCTGAGACAGGCTTTCTGGATTTGCTGCCAAAGAGGTTTTGCTGGATATTTTAAAATTAGGCCTAGATTCCAATAATGAAATCTGCCACCTGCCTATT